GAGAGAGAGAGAGAGAGAGAGAGAGAGAGAGAGAGAGAGAGAGAGAGAGATCACAAAAAGAGAGCAACTCTACAGCTCAGAGGACCAAAGTGCCTGCTTAGGCAAGCGTGCAGGGACCACATGCCACAACAGCCCTGCCTCCAGGGTGGGCTGAGCTGCCCACAAAACAAACAAAAGAAAACAACAAGGACATTTTATTTCTGAGTATGCAAAGAATTCTGTCTGATACATTTGCAGCATATTTGCTACATAATGACAATTCATTCTTCAAACTTAATAGTTTTCAGAAGCCTCTTGTCTTTCTTGCTTCTAGAACATAGCTTCATTTTTTGGACACATCGAAGAATCGAGGTCTAATATAATCCTTATACATAGAATAGAGAACACCTAGAAAGAGAAAGATGTGCATCAGTAGACTGTCCATTGGATATAAACAGTGAATTTTTTCCCACTTGCTTTTTTTTTTTTTTTTTTTTGCAGTACCAGGGATTGAACTCAGGATCTTGCACCTGCCAGGCAAGCACTTATTCTACTGAGCTATCTCCCAGCCTCTCCCACTTGCATTTTTCTGGAATTAGTCCATAATTTAAAAAGTGGAGAAACAAAGAGGAGCCTTCTCTTACTATGTTTTGATTTGGACCCTTCAGGTGGCCCCCAAAGTAAGTAAATCAACAAAAAAATCCCCTCAGTAGTCCTGTAAGACCAGAGTCACTCTGAATTGATGCTGTTACCATCCTGAAGTTTGAGGTTTACAGTCTTGGTAAAATGTTAGGAAAGTAGGTTACAAACAACAGTCATATCAATTCAGCAAACATTTATTCAATGTCTCTTTGTGCTTAGTATCAGGAAAATGAAAGTGAATGGATCTAATCCCCCTTCTGGGAATTCACAGACTAGCGGGTAAATTAGCTGCGAGTTTAGGCAGATGCTGTCTGTGGCTTCCACAAAGTCCTAGGGCAAAGCTGAGAGAGGAGCAGCCAGGGGCATGAGCTGAAAACGGCGGAGGTGCTTCCATGTTAGTAAATGGAGCCAGATTTAAACCATGACAGATTTAAACCATGACTGATAGATACCCACTTCCTGTGCCCACTCCATCGCAGAGATCAAAGCAGCAGCGAGCTATCAATGTCTCAGCCAGGTCCTTTACTTTTCTTCTGAGTTCTGAGACTTATATTTCCATAGAGTGCACAGAGGATGAAAGGTTATTAAGTTGCTCTCAAATCTCCAAGTCATGGCAAACTGAGGCAGAAGTCTGAACAATTTCCTAATTAAAAAGTGTTGTATGGGTTGGTGAGATGGCTCAGTGGTCTAAAGCACCTACTTAGAACAAGCTTAGCAAAGCACAGGGACCGCGGTTCAATCCCCCAGCACCACATGCCAGCCAGCCTCGCCCCCTGGTGGGCTGAGCTGGCCACACACACACACACACACACACACATAAATAAATGTTAAAAAAAAGTGTTGTAGCTAAAGTTATGTCTAAAATTCAAGCCCAAAATTTTAAAAATTTGAATTATTGTAGTATTGATGAAAATAGCATTCTCAGATTTACAGAGAAGTCTGGGTCTTATTATCCTATTATCTGGCTTATTAGACACAGATAATTCTTTCTCCTTGTCTCTCTTAATTGTTGTTTCCTGAAGTAATAATCTCTGCTTTTTTCTTTAATTGTTCATTTATTTATTTATTTATTTATTTATTTATTTATTTATTTGGTACAGGGTCTCACTATGCAGCTCAGACTCCCGGTGGTCCTCCTGTCTCAGCCTCCCCAGTGCTTGTCTCATTCATAACTGTTGCTTTTCTGGTAAGCAAGTTAGATTTCCTTCTGAGTGTGAGGTCCATATATTTATTACTGTATCTATGGCATTTCTATATCACATATGTAGGTAATATCCAGACTTTTAATTGTACATAAATAATATGCTAAGTATGCACTAAAGTGTCAATTAATTTTTTGTTGTTTTTGAGACAGGGTCCTGCTATATATTTCAAGTGGGTCCTTTTTTTTTTGTATTTTAGGGAAGGGTCTACAGGTGTTCAGGGTCTTACTGCTAGATTGGATTCATAGTGATCTGCCTGTTTACAGCCTCCCAAGAGCTGGGATTACAGGCACGCGCCACCACGCTCAGTCTTCTTGTGGGTCTTGAACTCAAGGCAATCCTCTTGCTTCAGCCTTCCAAGTTCTGGGCTTATAGGTGTTACCATAACCCCCCTGGAGTGCACATTAATTTTTAAACAATAAAATATACCATGATCAACATATATATATATATATACATATATATATATATAACTTTTTTCTTATATTTATTTTGTTTTGCTAGTTTTGCTGACCTTGCATTTCTGTTCTCAGACAATCCTTCTGTCTCAGCCTCCAAAGTAGCTTGAACTACAGGTCTGGGGAACTGTGCCTGGCTAGCTTTTTTATTTTCACGGCAGAATAATTTGGAGACATCTTCTATGGATATTTCTTTCTTTTTTTTTTCTGCATTTAGGATAGCGTCTACAGGGTCTACAGGGCCTACAGGGTCTACAGGGTCTACAGGGCCTACAGGGCCTACAGGGTCTATAGGGCCTACATGGTCTTCAGGGTCTACAGGGCCTACAAGATCTACAGAGTCTACAGGGTCTACAGGGTCTACAGGGTCTCACTACATAGATCGGATTCATAGTAATTCACCTGTTTTCAGCCTCCCAAGTGCTGGATTATAGGCAGGCAACACCATGCCCAGTCGCAAATGCCATCTCAGTGCACCCCATGGGTGGGGCCAGTACAGCAGGGTGGGGAGTGAACCCTGGCCACTGCACTCTGCCTAAGCAGGCACTTTAGTCTGCTGAGCTATCAGGCTGGCCCTTCCAAGGGTATTTCAATTAGTATAGAATAAAATTAAGACTTAGGGCTGGAGATTTCCTATGTAGTCATGAATAAGTGATTTTTCCCTTTTATTTATTTATTTCTTTAAAAATCTTATTTATTTATTTATTTATTTAGTGTGTGTGGCCAGCTCAGCCCACCTGGGGGCGGGGCTGGCTGGCCTGCGGTGCTGGGGGATTGAACTGCGGTCCCTGCGCTTTGCTGAGCTTGTTCTAAGTAAGTGCTTTAGACCAATGAGCCATCTCACCAGCCCCGATTTTTCCCTTTTAAACTTCATTTACTTTATCTATAACATGGTATAAATTCAGTTGTATTAGAGGATAGATTTGTGTTGTGCAATAAAGACTTGGTATGGACCGGGGATATAGCTCAGTGGTAAAGTACTTGCCCAGCACCCATGAGGTCCTGGGTTCAAACCATAGTCTCACAATGAAGTGACTAAATAAGTCCCTGTTCTTTCCCTTGGGCGGGTTTATTTATTTATTTTTAATGTATTTAGTACAGGGTCTACATTACATAGGTTGGACTCACAGTGATCCTTCTGTTTACAGCTACTACACCCAGTCTTCGCCTGGGTGCTTTTAAAAAGTACAGAATTTCCAGTGTGATAGCAGTGTCTGTGTTACTCCCGAGCATCAGGGTCATGCCAGAGTGTGTGCTGGTGAAGGTGATGCTAGCATCTGAAGTACGGGCGGTGTTGTCAGGTCCATATTCTTAAACTTGTGGAATCTGATGATGCAGCCCCAAGTAGTGTCAATATTGAATGATATGCCAACCTCAGGTGAGGTCAAAATAGCTATTTATTTAAATTAAATGAGAAAATCATATAAAGCAGTTAGAGTGACTGCACATCAGAAGTATTTGTTAAACACTAGCTATTCTTGTTTTGTCTAATAAATGCTCAGCCTCCCACCAAAGCTGCTCTTTGACCTTCATTCTCTGCATGAGCGAAAAGCAAAACCTTCCATCCAAATAGCTGGGGTCCATATTTGATCCCTCTTCCTTCCTTTCCCCAGTCATTTGGTGACCAAATCCTCAGCATTTCTGGAATTCATCTCTTCTCTACTTCTAGTTCCACTGCTTAGTTCAGATCTAATTAAATTTATGGAGAATTAGATTCCAAATTGACACTGAGTCCCA